GCAACCACCTTTGGACTTTCAAGAAACAGTTTGCAATCCAAGTGGCTCTGTCCTGCTTCATGTCATACATGTTGCAGATTGGTGGCAGGGCTCCTAACAAAATTCTGTTTGCGAAAAATACCGGGAAGATCTTCCAGACTGACTTCCATCCAGGTATTCTTCTTGATGATCATTAATCCTTTTCTTTTTGAGGGTCAATAATCAATCTATGTAAATATGGCATGTGGAACTTGATGATCACTCACATTTGATTTTTTTTTTTGCAGCTTATGATCCAAATGGATTGATTGAGTTCAATGAGCTAGTTCCATTTAGGCTGACACGCAACATGCAAGCTTTCTTCTCAAATTTTGGCGTTGAAGGTCTCATCGTTTCTGCCATGTGTTCTGCTGCCCAGTCTGTGGTTTCACCTAAAGTGAGTATTTCCACCCAGCATAGGTGATTCTTTTAGGATATATTCTCTAAGACTAAGATAGATAGGATCTTATCTTGGTACCGATTCTGCTTGAAGATTCATTATAGGGTGCATCTATTTAGTTGTACATGCGCCACATGTTGAAATTGCTGCTATTATGATTTTCAGCAAACCCAACACATATGGCATCATCTGGCTATGTTTTTCCGCGACGAGCTGTTATCTTGGTCATGGAGAAGGCCGCTTGGCATTCCGTCTGTTCCAGTTGCCGCTGGAATGATCAATCCATTGGATTTCCAGCAAAAGGTTATACACAATGTGGATCACGTCATCAACCGTATCAAATCCATATCACCACATTATCTTGCTGATGAGGTATGCAGTTTCTTGCAGTTTCTTGAAGATGATGTTTGCGTGGCGCTTGATCTTTGCAGATGACATTTAGGTTGTGCGATCTCTGACCATTTTCTTGGTATTTCAGGAGGAGAGCACAACAGAACCGCCCCAGTCTGTCCAAAGAGGCGTTACAGAACTGGTGGAATCCGCGCTATCTTCGAGGAACCTGTGCATGATGGATCCGACATGGCACCCATGGTTCTGAGGGACGCGAATCACATTTTGTAGCCTAATGAGCAACTAGTGTCTCCCTAGTTAATATCTCCTGTGAATATAACCTTATGTAGCAGAACCGGTCCGCTAGCTTGTATCGTGTTAGTGTAGATAAAGGAGGAAGCTGGGGTGCAGCTCTGTTTTCCTCCCGGTATTGACATAGTCTGATTTTGTTGGTTTAGCTGGGCGGCATGAATGAACCAACGGTAACATGTCCAATTTCGAAACCGAGACATGACTCCTAGAGAATGAGATTCAACAAATAATTGTTGTGACTTTTGTCATAATTGTGGCAGACGAATCCTGTCTCTTGGATGTTGCACCATGTATTTTCTTTCTTGAAGACTGCCTTTAAAAACTTGGGCTGTGCTCCCTTCGCCCGCGTTTGATCCTTTCGATTTGAGATGGCTTGTACCCGACCCGGCTGGGCGGTTCATGATGGGTGGACCTAGGGGTTGCACCCGGGGTCACCGTCATTGGGCGGCGTCTGTACGCCCACGAGTGCCCTGCCTATCGGCGTATAGACCCTGGGCTGCCTTATATTGCCCACTGACACCCCCCCACCCCTTCCCCCTCATTGGGTGGGGTCTGTACGCCCACGAGCGCCCTGTTGCATGCTGCCCC